TATGAGAACCAATTTTTTTTTTTTACGAACTACGCAGAGTATTTTTGGAATGTTTAATACAAAATTGTAGATAAAAAAAGCTTTCAATGGATTTTAAAATAACTCCAGCTACTGAAGTTAACGGATTCTATAAGGTTGTTGTTTTGACACAGTCATTCTGGGTGTCATTGTCCCATAACGTTGGGTTTGTGTACGAAATGCCTAATATCGATATTATAAAAAATCCTCTGATGGTGCTCCAACAAGAAGCCATGTAATGTGGAGAAACAAGAAAGGTAGAGCAATAATCTATGGCAGCAAACATCTTATACTATCAACGCTTATGAAACCACCGCGTTATTAGTTGTAGTTATAGTTGTAATATACTTAAAGTACATGATATCTCAAATACTAGAGCATCTGCAACAACTCCTAACACCAATGAAGACTCTCAACCGGCATTGAGGCGTTTTGAAGATGTTTGTTTCTGCAATTGCTTTCCTTATCTGAACAGTTGAGGAAAGCTCTTGGGCTTTATTATGGGTTTCAAAGAAATTGTACCAATTTTCCGCATGGCTGCTATGTCAGCTAAGTCCTTAGGCATAGATTTCAGTGAAGTTGTTGGACTATAACTTATTGGGTTAGAGTCTCCTGAGTCACATCAAGATGAACTATGGTGCTAGTCTTCTTCAACGAAGTTGTTAACCCAACCCAACCCATCCCAGAATCATCATGGCGTCGAAGACAACGTAAATTAAGTTATTTCATGTGGGTTCACAGTGGGTAATTTCTTCTCTTCATAATCAAAAATTCATAATCATCTTCTATCCTTAAATCCAAAATAATTAATTCTTGTACCAGAGCGAAACTTTTCACCATAAATTGATTCATTTTGTGAACATGTCATGTTTTATGAAAGAAGACTTACTTTCTTATGGTTTTAGTTGCACCAAACTGAATAATTATTTCAAAACATTTTTTTCACAATATTGAGATCAATGATATTGGGAATAGATTTAATTCTGTAAATCATGGGGATTCGCCTAATCCTGTGACGAACGAATCCGGTCGCATTAGGATTCAGTCAACAGTGGCCGGAAAACACAAACACATCCGTTTCAATAGATCGCACACACGCATCCCATAATACCACATAATGCGATGCCTATAGGCAGCCGAATTGACATCTATGCCTATGTTCGTTCGCCTTTTCATTCACCAACAATGACGACGCCCGTACCGCAACGCCACCACACAATATTTTTCTTTTAATATTACGTTAGCTTTCGTGGTGGTGTTTATGGAAATTAATAGAGAGATAGAGGCAACTACAGTCGGAATATCTAAACGCAAATTTACATCGGAAATGGGCCACTATTATATATGAAACATCCACTAAGTTTTATCATCGCAAATGTAAATTTGATTATTTTATAATAAAAATAATACTGGTAATTGTTATAGTATTAATAATAGTAATCAATACTTGAATTATTGCTAATGCTATTATTACGCCAATTAATTCGAAATATATTTGATCAATCTAGTAATAAGCTACGCACGCAATATTAGCATCTATAACGCCGTATATGTCATTAATTAAATTACTTGGTTTAATACATAAGAAACCTTAATAAATAAAATTGTAATCACAAGTTTTAATTAGAAGTTTCGGATTTTCAAAACTTTTATCTCTTCCTGTTTCCTACAGGTTAATTTTCCAAAATCGCTGAATTTACAGTTTACAATCCGCGAGTTTACGGCAATTTTTAAGGACGTTATTCCAACAAAATGCGACCAGCGCACCATTTACCAGCTGATAATGGCCCGCGAACTAATAAATACCACGTTAAAACGAGTGGAGTAGGCAGAGGCGCACTAAGCAGAACCCCAACTAGCACCACCACGAAGGGCTGTATCGATTGCTAAGCTATTTAAAATTTAAATACTCACCCCTTCACCACCATCCCATTATATAACCTCCTAGTGTCAAATTAAGTTAACAAACTGTTAATTGTAATTACGTTAAAAGAATTGAACGGTATGATAATATTATTTGAAAGCAACAGTGTTAATTAAATGAAGATTTTAATTCTTTTAGATGACTTTTTGAGCGAGTTTTAATCAGTAATAAATTTAGTACGTCCCATTTCCTTACAATATCGCCATAACAACGGTCGTTTATCCGCTCGACCCATGACCGGATATAAAAATTTAACGTGAATTTTGAAATGGATGGCGTTAGGAATGAAGATTGCGGAACGAAGTTAACATGGGGCGATAAATAGAACCGGCGGTGAAGGGAGTTTTAAACATTTTACGAAAACTAGTTTTCGTAGGTCGATTAAATATTTACGGTAGTCGATTTTCAAGCGCCACCTCCTATGAATAACTTAACGGGTGCATTCAACAACTTGTCATTTTGTTCCGTACCGTGACAAACGTTAACGTTATTAATAAGTTATGATTTCTGTTTCATCGTGCGTAGATTTGATCATGAGAACAATTCAAGTCATTGTTTATTTATGTTATAATTCTGAGTTCCGAGTTTGTCTTTTGTGGATGTATTGTAAGAGTTTTCGCTGTATAGTTGAGTTGGACTTATTTCTTAGTAAAGATTTAGAACGCAAGAAAGTTTTGTTGGGGTTTCATTACCGAAGTTGGTGGGAAATGGTTATAAAAACTGTGTTGGGTTATTAATGAGTTACTTGATTATATCAGAAAAGATTAATACAGCAACCCGAAAAGTTTTAGGAAGATATACTGCGTTTAAATTTTGGAATTAGGTTTAAAATAAGTAAAAAGTGTTTGGTTTTTGTGCAAGATACGGGAGCTTGTAAAGGGCATTCCAGGTTTATCAATAAGCCACTGTGTTAAGGTCCCGAACATCCCCTTTACTGAATTACACATAAATTACGAGCTCTGAAGGTTTTTTGGTTACGCGGGTGGGAGATTAAACGCATTAGGGTAATTTTTGGAGCAGCCGAGTTCTCGGGTCGCCCGTCAACTTCGGGTAATCCCGGCGTTGGCCGACTTATTACGGGGGCGTCGTTGGGAGTAAGAAATATTCGCGACGCGGGACACTCTTAATCCCGCAGCGTCGGATCCTGCAATTTCTTGCGGGACCCTTAACTGTCAGATAAATTACTCCGCGTTCTTCACGACTGACACGACCAGAACTTTGACTGTCTTCCTTCACTCACGAAACCGGAAACGATAAGCCACTATAATTACCTACGTATTACAATTTCAAGTTTGCTGTATGTTCATAGTTTGAAGGTCGAAAATTGAATCCAATTCCGTTTGGGCCGGTCATAAATCGAGTCTCGGGATTGCATTGTTGTCTCGGCGAAATTGAGACTTCTCGGAAGGACAGGACTAGACCAGAATCAATTAATCTCCTATCAACGATTAGGAAGATAAATGCGTTACAATTACTGCGAATTAATTAATCTGGACCGTGGATGCTGTCGTCTCAGATAATGGCACGTTCGTACGCGAGATGGAGTTGTCACTCGCTGGTGACCGAGGTTCTACTTTCCATCAGTCAAGTTACTGGGATTACTTGGAATAGGATACGTTCATTTATAATTAACACAATAAGAAAAACTTGAGAGCAGCTGTTAAAATAATTAATTTCTAATTCAATACATTCCAGATCAAACTGACTAAAATGCGCTAAAACTTTTAAGTAGATACTTCAATGATACTTACTTTGAATTACTATATTAGTTTTAAATCTACGCGATAATACAATATTGAAAAAATATTGCAAGCAAAAAGCAGAGAAAAGCTATCGATCCTAGCTTTTTTGACCCGATTATTGATGCTATGTTTTAATATTTGAATATCATGACCTCAATACCTTTGATTCTTTTGGGAATGATTGCTACAGATCGACGACATGATCTTCTCTGAAACGAAAGCTGCCGCGAGTGCTACGAATTTCATATTTGAAATATTGATATGTTGGAGACAGATGGTGAATTGAAACCGTACCCGACTTGTATGGACATACTGAAATAATGATACAATTCAACGTCTAGCTAGGTCAACTTGAATGTTGTAACTTTCAATCATATTAAATTGAAGTGGAAGAATACAATTTTTTTATATAAACCTTTGTTCATGAAAGTTTAAACGAAAACCAATGGGATAAAATGTTTATATTCATCATGTCAAAAAATCATGTCAACGAATAAGGGATGAAGAAATAATAAATTAACTTGATAAAACTCTCATTTTATTCATTTTTTCGCTTCAACTAATTAAAAAACTTTTATATAAATTAAGAAAACTTAATTAAAAATAGTCACACTTATAACCTTGACGTGATTTTAAATAATCTTGATGAAAGCATAAAAAAGTAATAATGTAAAAGTATCAACTCTATTTTTGTTATACCCGAAAAATGTGGAACACCTATTGTGTTACACCCACCCCTTAATATATGAGTATGTAACTCTTTGTAATACAGTGAATTTCACTTAAAATGCAATATACAAAAATATATTTCCTTTGTTTACTTTGTCCCACATAAAATGCAACATGTTTGAATGTTTCTGGTTGTAAGTCTAATGTTAGTTTTAGTGACAGTGGTAGGTAGCGCATGTTAACATAAGATATCACTAAGTTCTATCTTTTTATTGAATTAAGTGAGTATACTAGACCCAGAACTAGAATCATTCGGGTTTAGCCGTCTTAAGAGACGTGCGGCTAAACCCGAATGTTTCTAGTTCTAGGTCTAATGCTAGTTCTAGTGACTGTCTTAGGTAGCGGTAGTTAGCATAAGATGTTGCATATTTATATTGCACTAGAACTAGAACTATCACTAGACCTAGAACCAGAAACATTAGGGTTTAGTCATGTGTCTCTTAAGACGGCCGAAAACTCAGGGTAATCATAATGACGCCTCAAAAATCATGATATGGTTTAAATTATCTTTTAGGTTGAATTAATTTTGGTGGAGGTGCCGGGCAAAGTCTATTCATAAATAGTTGAAAATCCATAAAAAACACAAATAGCTTTTCAATATTATCTTTATTTCGACTTAAACATATGTATATCTTAAAAGTTAATTAATAATTATAATCTTTGTATTTTTTTTGAATATACACGAAACGTATTCACAAGAGATCGAACGTACACACACAGACAAGTAGTGGTTGGCTCGCTAATTGTTGAGTTCACGGCGTTGGTGACAGCGCATCTCTGCTACCGTCTATAGTATTTTAATAAAATGTACAGTAATTTACAGTGCGAGCGACGGCGGGCGGGGCCGAACGGGGGCTACTTAAAGTTCCGTCCGGATGCCACGGGCTCGTGTAGCATCCGAACGGCAGCCGCGGGGCGGCGCCGGGCGTCGGGGCGTAAACTTCGAATAGCACCATTAACTCAGTATAATATGTATAGTGTTTAATATTTTTAGTTGTTTTGAATTTGGTTTCGTTGCAAATGGGGCGCCGCGTCGCGGGGGCGCGGCCCCTCCGCCCCTCCGCGTTTGGAAGACGTCCGCTGGAATCTGCGTACAAAAGGCGTGTATGCTGAAGACTCCAGAGGTTTTTGGTTGCGCTTAAATTGGTGTCTAGAAATTGATCCTATATCGATTATTAGTTTATTTTAATTAAAATTTATTTTTTATGTAGTAGTAGTTTCGTTCGTACAATTTTTATTATAATTTAATTTTACGATAATAGATTTGGATATTTACAATATTATTTGGTTTGTTAATATAATATCATATAATATATAGTAAGTGGTATATGTATCAACATCAAGGAGATAAAGATTTGTGTTTTTTATTTTTTCATTAAGGGTTAATTTTAAATTTGGATTTTATACAATATATTCATATAATATATAATATTTTAAAGGTAAAAGTATTTAAGTGTTACTATAATTTTCAGAAAAGCGTTTGTATTTATCACAGTGGTATCATTGCTCCATATTTCTTAGATGTCATATGGGCACACAGAGAGTACGATAAAGTGTTATTATAAGCTTGACCGTACTGTCGGTGCTCCACCTTGTATACAGGGTGGATGTGTTAAGTTAATTTTCCTTCAAATTTAAACACACCCTATTAAGTGTAAAGTAATAGTTTGATCGAGTTTTATCCCTCAATAAAAGTATATATGTATAAGAACAATATAAGTCGCTCACATAGTGATTATTATTAATTTCACAATAATTTAGTTTCATCTAAAATCTCCGAGTTTAATCTCGATAACAATAGAATTACAATTTAAGACGATTTTAAAATTGCGAAAGTATTTACAATATTTACAGGGGAAAGGTAACATTTAAACGTTAACCGAAAGTATACTACTAAGAAAATGTATTAAAAATGAAACCCTTTTTACCCCTTTTGGTTATAACGTTTCTTCTTACCTTGGGATATGTAGCACGCTTTTTGATTCGTTCTGCTTCTCTACGATTTATCACAGTACACTTTAATCTCTTTTGAGAAAACTCTAAACACTCTTCTACAAACTCGGAGATCATAAACGATTCAAATTTTCCTAAACTATCTAACATGTTTCACGATTTCTAAAACCTTTTAAAAACTTAGAAAATTGTCACTATCTATCATTGAGTCGGGAATAATCACTCACCCGGCTTCGACTCTGGACTATTTTGTTTGTTGTCGTAGAGATTGTCGATTTTATTTAGTGTCTGTACAAAGCACTTGGTGCACTGCGATACTGCGCGGTCCTAATCCTTCTGCTGACGCACTCGTAGCAGCACACGTACGCTAAACATCACTTGAACAATATCCTCCTAAACGCCCTTCTGAAATCCTTGTTGAATATGGTGTAGATGACAGGATTCAGAGCTGAGTTCATGTATCCCAACCAAAATGCTGTAGCAAACGCTACTCCCGGCATCGGATACGCCAATCGTAGAATGTACATAAAGAAGAACGGCAACCAACAGGCGATAAACGATCCCATAATTAATCCCAGAATCAGCGTGGCTCTCTTCTCCTTCTTCCGCGCTATCCTCTTCTTCTCCCGTTCTGGATCTCTTGGTTTTTGAATCCTAGGGACGACTTGTTCGACGATCGGTTCGTTGCTGCCGGCGATGTTCCCTTGAGTGTCCCGCCGGGCCTTGGCACCCTTCTTGCCAAAGATCGGCTTGCAAAATCGGAGCTTGAGCGGTTTGACGTTAGTACACCTAGAGACGACCCCAGAATCGGAACTGCTGGGATCGAATTCGCTTACCATGTCCATGTCCACACCGACAGATGGTTGTCTCGCTCTCGCTATGGCAGCTGCTTGTTGTTGAAGCTCTCCGTTCACCGACAATGTCGATCCTCTAAATGCACATTGACCCAGCGGTCGCAGTTGTGGACCGGAAAAGACCTGAAAAAATTACATTTTATAAGCTCAACATAAAATATTTTAGTAAATACCCCTAAAAAGTCTTAAAGCATCATAAAAATCTTAAATTACATCTAAGTTTATATAAAGAAATACATAGTTTAAGAAGATCCAACAATTCAGTGATTAGCCGGAGGAATTGATTAGTAACCGTATATGCACCATCCCGATTAAGCTTTAAAGATGATATACGGAAAGAATTTATATTCCCGACAAAACTCGAAACGTAATCAATCAAAAAAATGAAATAATTTTTGTTTTGCTATTTCGATCGTCGATATATTACCTCTGTTTGAGTTGTTGATTTATAACTGTTATCCATCGTGATGACATGGCAGGGGTATTTATCAGGATAATCAAGACGTCCTATATCCGGATTCTATAGTGTTAAAACGGCAGCTTCGATATGGCGCTATAAATTTGAGTTTCGGTACATTCATTTCTGCTCCCGTTTCGGTGAAGTCCGCACAAAGACCTTTTAGCTTCTCCAACCCTTTATTGCCAGGGATCGATAGGTCCGTCCCTTAAAGGGATGGTCGTAAAGTTAATAGGACCCCGGCTGCCAGGCTCTTCGGAAATTTTTATTGGGAAACTTTGCAGTTATTATGTTCGCTTTTATGACGGTCTTAACTGAATTACGTTTGGAGCGAATCCGTTCTTACGTATTTGACAGTGAAGAATTTAGAATAGAATGAGAAAGAAAAAGATTAAACTGATAAGAGTGCTTACCTTTAACGTGTCTTTGCCTTCTTGAGGATCTGAAAGAACCTCACCAGCATCACTTGTCGAGATGTCCGAGGCTAAATCACACGTGACTGTTGGAATGGGCATTGGTCTTGGGTGAGATTCTATGGTGGCTATTTGTCTCTGGCTATCCCTCGGCGAAGTGTTGCTGTTCTTGTCAACGGTTTCCTCCAACGAGTCGTTTTTACCGCCGTTTTTAGCGGCTGTAAAACTTGTTTGGGCATCTTGAGCTGATCTTCTGGGAGGTTTTCTTATTCCCCTTCTGGCTCTGGCTTTAGCTGCGTAATATATCCTGATGTAGACAAATACCATAATACAAGACGGAATGTAGAACGAACCCAGGGCGGAGTACAGCACGTAACCCAACTCTTCGCTTAACTGAAATAAAGAGAAGAACGTCAAAACTTCGGATCCTCTCATCTCGGGGGGGCTCAAGTGTTTAGAATGGATGAATACGCCTTTTCACAAGAATAATTAAAGCCCCGGTGACCCAGGATTTTATTTACCGACCCTCCGGGTCCGCCGGGAGTGGCGCAAACGGGAAACAGGATATTGGGAATTCCCTGGCATCACCCTATCGGCTCCATGTTTTCGCAGTTTTTGGGGACTGGCGATAAAATAGGTTATAAACGGCTCCGCCCACGAACTACCAATACACCGGGGGCAGCAGGCGAGCGGCTAAACGGGGGGTTTTATCGCAGCTGGTCCATTATTCGGATACAATGTGCTGCAACAGGACGGCAATATTTCATACAATAGGTTTTTGTATCGTGCACAGTGGAAAAAGTTGAATAACAATATGAAGAATTAATATTGAACGACATACTCGTAGTTTTTAAAAACCAAACGTACTATGTGACGAATCAGCTAGTTTGATATTGTAATTCATTTAATATTTGTTTGTCGAAGTTACGAGATTTTATTTTGTTTTTACGATATTTGTATTATTTTTACGATGCTCAATATCATTTTTACTATATTTTTTGTGTTTACTAACAGTTTAACACAAACTTGAAATTTTTTTACCCATACAACTAATTCCATTAAATTTATACTTCAAATTATTTCTAGTGGATGTTAATAAATTAATTATACGACGTAAAATTTTTAAGAAACACTAATATTTTCATTCGAAATGGAAAAGTCAACACCAGCACCAAAATCGGTAGCATTAACCATGAAATAAACGGTTCGCTACGTGGTTTCATCCCTGGTAACGGCTCGTTAACCATAACTCTTGAAGGCTGCAGGTCCGCGAGTGCACTCGGAGTGCTTTTAAGGGTCCGTACACGATCGTCCTCCAGAAACCGAGTGTCCATTAAATAGGGATAACGGGAAAACCGACCTGTATTCCTTAGTGGTATCGTATCGATTGAGTGAGTTACTCTAAGTTGATTTTAAGTAAGAAGAACTGACGGAGTTTAATTAAAAGTTATTGGAAATTAACAATTTTTGTGTTTTTATCCCTATAATGTAATGTGAAAATCAGAAATAGTTTTAGTGAGTATATTTGACATAAAAGCTTTGTTACATTATTAATTTTGAATTTCAAGATTTACCAAGATTCGCGTCTTAATTATTCCAAGTTATTTCCGTAAACATATTTGACAGAGCCAATTAAATGTTCCGGTTCTTATTAGGTCGAGAACTCGTCACCTATAAACCGATAACTAAACTCCGTCTCCGAATGCCAGAAACATATTTCAGCACTCCTAATTATTACGGTAGTTCTGAAATCGAGCTGCATTTGCACAAGTTGCACTCACATTAAGGATGAAATTAATTAAACATTCCTAATTAAATTTTGGAGAAGACCTTTGCCGAACGAACACAAGACTTATTGTACTGAACTGTACACATAGCAAAGCGTGTACACGTAACTAACAAGAACGGTCTCGACCTGCAAAGGTATTGTTTGCGTTTGCTTTAGGTTGCTCTAACTCACCGGGAGCGTGTTTTATTAAAAAGACTGATGAAATTGGATTTTATCTCCTTCGAGATACGAAAATTGTTATTTTGACGTACCAGGTGAATAAGTATGAGAAAGAAAGGAGACGTTTTTGTGCTATTTTTCTTGGACGCGTATAGGTTACCTGTGAGAGGTGCATATAGAAGGAAATGAATGGCTTTTACGAGCCCCTTAAAGTGGTGTAATATACATCGACGTTTGCGCCAGCTGCAGCATGCTGCCTTACAGACCTAGACCAACTCGCCAAACCGATAATTTGCATTTTGCATGAAGCTGCACGTCCCCGTCGTCTCCTTAACGGACAGCGTATCGTTTGATGTACATCCCTTGTACCAGAATACATGATGAGGTCATATGCAAACCGACAGTTGTATTTTCGACGGCAACATAATAAAATTATTGTGTTAGAATTTAAGTTTTATATTCCAAACTTACATAAATCGCGTTTTACGACGCAGCCATTTAATCGTATATTTCGTGGAGCAAAATAGGACGAGACGAACTCTTCTTCTTAACGTTTCACCCTCGGTACGCCATTACAAAATTTACGGTCGGTTTATTAACCGGCAAGTTTCGACCGCCGATTGTACGGACGCCGCTGGACTTTGCAGGATCGGGTTCAAGGCCCGTTCCTGATTTATAGCGTCGACGGCGTTTTATTAACGGCCCGGACCTGAAGCCGTAACTATTCACGATCAAGGTGAAGTTGTCAACGGACAGTTCTCTCCCGAATCGGCCATGATAATTTATGGTCGACTTGGAAAAGATTTTCTGCGAACTAAAAGAACGATTTACTACCTTTCCAAGTTTCTAAGTAGAGAAGGCTAAATGAAAAGAAAATTTCTTGATATGGAAATGATGAAATGAGAAAAGGTTCAAGATAGCGTGTTGTGACATTTTACAGAAAGAAATAAAATTGTGACTAGAATGGAATATTTATTCAAGGTGGATCACAAAGTTAAAGTCTTTTTTTGCTGTCACGTAGTCACTCGCAAGTACATGACATCTACGTGTTTGGATGAACTCCACAAAAATACGCAGTAAGCATGGAAATACTTTTTTTGAATTTTGTGCATTGTATTAAATTAAATATTTTTGAAGATTTATCTCGATCGTTGACATAACTGAACATGTTTCGTCAAAATCAATAATTTATTTCTCATGTATACATCATACACAATACTGGAGGTGTTCGAAGCTTTGCAGACGCCAGATTCGATTGCTATGCATAAGGAAGCGGCGGAGTTCGAGTTGTCGGACGAAATTCAAGCGTTTATCTCAATCAATCCTGAAGCGGCGTTATGTTACTATCGGAAAAGCGTAAATCTCGTAGCGCGGAGGCGTAAAACTGTGTCTCTCAAATCGATATTATGCATACACAATGCACACGTTTCACAGAAACTGTCAAACGTGTTTATGTTTTGTTTATGCGTATCTTTGTTGACCTCAACCTTCAACATTATTTTATCTCAACAAATTTAGGCAACATTTCCAATTTATTCGAATTGAGTTTATCTACATGTGACAGCTACATATTGTGTAACGCTTGTTATATATAAAGGATCAAAGATAACATGGTAATGTCATTGTTTAATATACAGGGCGTTACCAACTACTACACTGTACATAACCGTTTGATGTGCATATCGCGTGTTTATTTACACAAAGGACTTGGTGTTGTAATTAACGCAAAAATTAACTTTCGAACAAAGTGCTTCATAAAGTATTGATCTGCTCTTAAAATATTCTTTCTGCAAAAGCGATTCTACCCACTCCACCCCCTGCAGACGTCACGCTTCGTTCAATTTTTTTTAAATCGACCATATCTCTCCAGGGAAGTGTATCTCCCTCAAAGACTACGGCTCATAAAAAAGATAATTTCGATTTTATTACGCTAACGGGGATCCTATAAACAGGGGCCGTCTTTTACCGACTTGCCGGTAAAATATTACCTCCACATAATATGTCGGCGGTATACAAAAGTTATTCGCGCCAGGGGTCGTTCCAATTCGGGAAATGGTGACGGGAGAATCTTCTAGCCCGGGGGAAAGGCGATTCCAATCTTGCCGCGATTGAATTCGAGGGAGGCAAGACGGAGAATGGTTAGGAAAGACAAGAGAAAGGACGGAGGGATGTTGATATTAGGTGTGTAATATCCACTTTCTGGAAGGGAAGAAGCTTACGAGACTGACCAAATCCTGTTGGGAAATCCAAGCTTAAATGTCCAACTGCTAACACAAACTTATACAGGGTGAATCATACAGAATGAAATATTTTTAATTGAACATGTTATAATCATAACCATTTTATATTTATAAAAAATTATTCAAAACAAGAAATTAAGGTCATTCATAAATTTATAAATTGAAATTTAAACATTCATATCTTAAGAACGAACTGAGGTATAATCACGAAATAAGAGTCTCTTAAATCACATTTAATAAAGATTTAATGTACCATAAATAATTTCTTACTTTCCATAAACATCGTTGTTATGATTTTTTAATCCAATCTTGCATGATTGATTGTAGTAGATTTTAAACACATAACTTTAAAACATTGTATTTCCAGAACGAATTAAGATATAATAATGAAATAAAGAAGATTTTGAAGCAAATTCAATGATTTAACCTGCCATAAGTAATTTTTTATTTTTCATAAACATCGTTGTTATAATTTTTAATAACACAAAAAAATCGTATCACTAGAGCGAATTGAGCTATGAAGATGAAACGATAAGCATTTTAAAGCAAATTCAATGAAGGCTAAAAGAGCCAAAAATAATTCCTGAAAAACGATTTTCATACCTTCATTTTAATAAGTGTTCTGTAAAAAAAAATAAACATTTTCCTTGCTTGAAATCATTATTCATCTCTCTTAGTTTTACTAATTCCTATAAAAAATTATCTGTCGTACTTTTAACGCCACTAATCTTTTATATCCCTCTAACTGCATTTTTCTACACTAATCCTATAAAACCGTGCCCTGGTTTAAACCTGTCTCAATTACTGAATGTTTCCTTTAGGGAAATATGCGCACGCATATAATTAATGTACAGGGATGGGTTGTTTCATTCTTAGCACAGCTTCACCGTAACTGGACGTCTGTTTGTACATACCTGGAAAATTCAAAGGAAGTCTACAGTGGCCGTGCTTACAGAGGTGATGCTCGAAATTAAATTCTCCCCCGGAGTGTGCTCCGGTTGATTTAAAAGTGAGCGCGAAGTGTTCCCTTGTCGGTCGTTGGCGGCAGTTCGCTACCTAACGGAGAAGAAATTAAATTCTACCACCGCTGCCGCCGGCGAGAAAGCCGTATTGAACAAGCGTAGGATGCCACACTGCCAGAGAATTTGCATGTAACTTTATTGCCCGTTTGTTTGTTAGCTTCGGGGAAGTACGCAACGATCTTT